CCCCGAGCCGAGCCGCCGCGCCTCCCGCTCGGCCTCCGCCCTCCGCCCGCCCGCCCGCACCCCCGCACCGGCCTTCACTCTGGAGCGGCCCGGGCAGCCGCAGCAGGGCCGGCGGCGGCGCATCGAGGAGCTCTCCAGGTCGTCCCGGGAGAGGCTGCTGCAGTCCCGGGACAGGATGTTCTCCAAGCTCACGTCCATCCTGCAGCACGCCGTGGAGGCGGTGAGGCCGCGCGGGGCGCCGCGGGGAGGCCGCGGGGCGCGGGAGGCTGCGGCGGGGAGGCCTGGGCGCCCCCGGGGCCTCCGCCCGGCAGCCTCCGCGGCCAGCGCCGCGCGGGACAAAGGATCGGCGGTGCCCGTGGGCTGCCCTGGCGTTGGCTTCCGCGCGGATGGGAGGGCGCGGTGGGGACCGCCGGGCCCGGTTCACGCCGGGGCCGGCGCCCGCTTGCTCGGGCCAGGCGGCCCACCCCGGCCGGACCGTGGTGCCCGATCTGCAGGCGTGTGCAGGTCGGCCACGGCCGGGCTCGCACCATCCGCCTCCCGTTTCTCGTCTTTCCTCTGCGCCTCCGGGCCGCTGCAGCCGCCGCACTCCGCGGCTGGCCCTCACAGCCCCGAGCGAGCGACCGCAGGACGCAAACCTGCTGCCACACCGGCACCCGGAGAATGAGGAGGAGCGTGCCTTGCCAGTGTGAACACAGCCCCTTGCTTGTTTTGACCGAGCGTTCCCTTGTTTGAAAAAGTTACTGTGTTTATTTTGAAAGTGGTATTTTCAACCATGTTGAGAATGATAGCACTTTCAAATTCACATGACTTTTTAAGGAAGAAAAAAAAAAATCAGCCACCATGGTGATTTTTTTAGGGTCAGCTAACAAAATTAGAGTTGTAAATTTCAGTTATGGAGACAGAACTTTAATACAATTACTATTTTCACACAGTGTGGAATTTGGGTTTTGTTTCTCTTGATGACACATCAAACCAAGAAAGAAACGGGGTGTCGTGAGAAGCAGTGTTGGCATATGGGAAGAGAACCGGGCTCTAAGGCTCGGCTTCTGCTTTTCTTGGGGCAGCCTACATTCGTAAAATAATTAAAAATTTTAAGAAAAGTTATATGGAGATTTTATATCCATATATACTTTATACTAAAAAGTCATAAAACTTTTAAAATATATGATTAATATAATGATAAGTAAAAGAAAATTAGGGATATGTTATATAGTTAAACTGTGGGGCCTGTTGTGTTCTTGGCAAAAAGCTCCCCACTGAATTTTATTTTATTCTTTTTTTTTTTTTTGAGATTGAGTGTTGCCACATTCCCCAAGGTGGCCTTGAACTCACCATGACCCAGGCTGGCCTCAACCTTTTGCCTCTGAAATCTTTAGTTCTAGACATGACATCAAACCTGGCCAGGATTTTTGGTTCATAGACTCATTTTGTCCTCAGGCCTGTGTTTTCTGTTTTTGTGATCGTTTTATGACCGTATGTATCATAAGCATCTACCAAATTGTCTGAGTGAGACTCTACCGCTGTGATACCTAGCTTCTCCACCCTGCTGGGGTTAGTGAGGAGAGAGAGCGTTCACCCCGTTTACCTCATCCTAGGAATAAATGACTGGCCCGTGGAAATGTCAAGTCCACTGGCTCAGTGCCAGTTTCTAAGCTGTGCTACTACCCACACAGTTTACCAAAGAAAGTACAGCTCTTGAAATCTGATTGGCTCAGCTTTGCTTTGGGAGAAGGTCTCCCTACCTTTGTGGAGGGTAGCCCAGGCTGGTCCCGAATTTAGGATTCTCCTGTTTCCATCTCCCAAGGGCTGGATTATAGCTTTGGTCCCGCATCCTTTGAATGTTTTTGATGTCCCCTTCTATATACTCCCGGGAAATAACTCTTAGATAATGAAATACGCTGCCGCTGGTAGTTGAAGAATGTTTTTCATAACCCAAGATTAGTTCCTGGTTACTCTGTCTCATTGACAGTGCTGCTTGTTTTGTGAACGGAACCAAGTCTTCTTGCTCCTTAATTTGTTGGCCTTTTCTCTCTCCTTTCACATTCGCATGCAGCCTTCCCATGACCTCAGGCATCAGGCTTCTGCACTGGGGAGGGGACCCCAGGCCTGCAGGTGACCCCACCTCTTTGAGCTGTCATTGCAGCTTCTCTGCTGTGCTGGTCTAGTCTTTCGGTATTAGCAGTGGCCAGTGTCCACCTTCAATCCCAGAAGCCTTCAGTGTTTAAGGTCGATCAGATGTGTACTCATCTAGATGAGGTTAGATAAGGTGTTTGGGGTTGTCTGTTTGTCTGTTTGAGTCAACCCTCTGACAGGCCCCAAGCTTGCTGTGTGGCCAAAGGCGGCTTAGACTCCTGATCTTCCTGCCCCCACCTCCCAGGAGCTGGATTATAGGCTTGTGCTCTGTTTTCTGTTTAGTTTCTGGTGCTGAGGAGTTAATCCAGGGCTTGATGTGTGTCAGGTAAGCACTGTTCCACAGCCCTCTACCCCGGCCTTTCCAAAACATTTTTATTCTGACTTTCGTATGAGTGTTTTGTTTGTGAACCGAGTCTATGCTAGGTGCCTGTGGAGGTCAGAGAAGGATCTGAATTCCCTGGAACCAAACCTGGGCCTCTGCAAGAGCAACAAGTGCCCTTAACTGCTAAACCGAACCCAGGCTTAACGTAACTGAATCCAACCTTGAAACTTCTAAAGTAGGAGCTCACTAAATTGTCTGCCCTGTCCTCGAACTTGTGATCCTTCTGCCTCAGCTTCCCAAATAGCTGTGGTTATAGGAATGTGCTATCAGACCTGGCATGTATTATTTAAACAGTTTTCCTCATTTACCGCTAACTGCTTACAAAGAGGGAAAGAAGATGTCTCTAAAGCTCTGCATTTGCAAATATAAAGGAAGATTAAGGTGGCTGATGTCAAGGTGTGCACCCTGAGAAGTTGCACCACACAGATCTGGTGTGAGGAAGTTTATTGGGGAAGAGAGAGGAGGACCTGGAGAAGGGGTTGAGGCAGCAAGGGAGCCATGTAGGCAGGCGGGCAGGAATAGAGCCACGAGGGCAAAGAAATGGACAGGGACTCAGAGTTGGGCAAAAAGGAGATGAGAGCAGGAACAGAGAAAGAGCTGGGGTGACAGGAGTCCTTATATCCCTGCATGCACCTGGTAGCAGCAAGTGATGACCAGGTGATGACGTAAGCAGTTGCTAGGGCCCTCAGAGCAAGCCAGCAGAATTGCCTGTGTGCTGACAGGGACAAGCATCCCATCCCATCCACCATACTGGGGACTAAACCTGAGCCTGCTGTCTGCTAGGCCAGGCCTCTGCCTGTGAGCTATTTCCCAGGCTGTAACCCAGGCTCGCCCTGATCCTCTGCCTCTCCTCAGCAGTTTGCCTAGTGGCTACCAATTCTTGAGAACTACTCCATCCTAGGACTTATTTTTCAAGCCCAACTTGAGTCTCTTTCTCATTCAGCAAGTGCTTTAAGAGCTTGAGTGAAAGCACTAAGGAAACACAGATCATCTCGGATCACAGTGCCAACTGCCTGAGCACACCTGGGAAGTCCTAGTGTAAGGTGCACAGCGTGTGATCAGCCCCGGATCAGACAGCAGGGCCAGGCCCTGCCCTCCTCCTGCAGTGACATGGAACTCTGCTGACTTTCTGCACAGCACCTCCTTCCTCATTCTGTGGAGGAATTAGACGCACAGCATTGCTGCAGAGGCGACAGTGAGGAGGATAGGAGAGCTTTGTGTGTGCCTGGTCAAGAATGCTTCCGAGATTGGCTTGGCCAGGCTTAGGGCTGTGGGGAGGAAGGGAGCTCGGATTGCACGGGGAGTTAGAGAAGGCTCCGTGGAGGCAAGGCCAGAACTAGGTAGTAGAGAAGCGGAGAAGATGGGAGAGCACGGAGGAAGCTGAGGAAGCAGATGTGGTGCCTCACTCTTGCATCTCTGGGACCTTCCCCAGTGAGACCCAGGCAAGCCTGGGCTACACCATAAAGCCTTAACAAAAGCAGGACAAAGCCGGATGTGGTTGTGCTGCCTGCACTACCAGCCCTCAGGAACAGGAAGGCAGAGGTCAGGATTCCAAGGCCAGCTACGTCGTGACTTTGAAGCCAGCTGGGATGGCAGGAGACCCTGTCTCAAATAAAAACAAAGATGAATAAGTCTGGGGTAGGGAAAGGCTCTTCAAAAGATCTCTTAGAATGGGCATTTTTGTGGACATTTAAAGCAGAGGTGGCGGCTGGGAGGTTTTGTCCACATTGTTGGATTTTTTTGTGTATTGGACATGCTGGACAGGGTCCAGGTTTCCAGCAAAGACCTTTGTTCCCTAAGGCAAGTAAGCTGACCGGTGTTTTGGTCTTTGTGGGAGTTTGAGTAGTAGAGGAACTGAACTCCTCAGGAGAATTTAAAACTGTTTTAGGCGGGGTGTGCAGCTGAGACAGGGGGATTTCGAGTTCAAGACCTCCCTGGAGTGTATATGAGACCCTGCCTACTGTAAAGAGTAGGAAGTGCTGTGCGTGCGGCCCGGTGGTGGAGCGTTTGCCGAAGCAAGGCTCTAGGTTTGATCATTAGTTGTGTGCGACCTGTGCAGCGCTGGTCTGCATGTCTGCCTGTCACATGCAGTAACCGGTGGCCGTTCGTGTCTTCGTGGGGTGGGTGGTTTGTTGCTGACTCAGCTCCATCACTGAGTTAAACATTGATTTAAAGCAGGAGTTAAAATAGGAGTGTGCCTGGTGAAAAAGATGGCCCCACTCAGCCTTGTCCTGTTTCAGCCTAAGGGGAGAGAAAGCTAAGTGAGGTAAAAGTTGGGGTGAAGGCTACAGGAGGCCTCAGAATGGCAGGTACTTCAAGTGCAGAAGGAGAAACTTCCTACAGTGGGGAACTCCCAGGTAGGAGAACAGAAAGTCCCAGTAGGAGAACAGGGAGTCCAAAATAGGCAAATGGGAAACCACAGATAGGTGCCCTGGAGATTTGGGGATGGCTCTTCAGATGAGAGTTTTGAGAATTTAACCTCCAAGTACTAAAAAATTAAATTATAGTCTCCCGCTGCTGATTCATACATCCCTTTCAGACTAAGAATGTTTTTATGCAATGGTAGAACACATCATTTGTATGTTAGTAACAAAAAAAAAAAAAAATCAAGTTTACTGGAGTTTCACAAAGTGAGAGAATCTGTCTTGTGTGAATGGGATTGTCACTCCTCCGAGTTATTAGCAATTCAGAACAGTTGAGCTGTCTCGCTCCTGCATTGAAGCGATGTCCTCATCCTGCTTGGGATTTGATGGCATTCTATGGCAAGGGTCCCCATACACAGCCTGTGGAGACTCTAGCCTGGGACTGCTGCTGGGGAGAAAGAAGTGGAGAAAGGGTACTGTGTAACTACCTAAAAGGTGAAATTGTTACTACATTAAAAACTACATCCTTTCATTGAAAGAGTTATTTCCTTCTGTGTTCCACTTGTTAGTAAATTTAACTCCGTAAGCCAAGTCCTCCTGAAACTTAACTGCCTGTCTTTCACAACTCCGATTAGTTCTAGTTCCTTCATCGAGTTCTGTGCACATAGGCAAGAATGGGAAAATTCAGCTTTAATGAAACAGTAACAGCTCAAAGGTCTTCAGTCTGTTTCCTTTCATAAGTGTGTTGCACCTTGTGGTTTGAGACACATAACATTGCCTGTGAGTGGACCCACGAGTTGCACAAGGGCTGAGAGATTGTGTTGACAGAGTTGTCGGCTGCAGGGTCACCGGCTGGGAGACCAAAGGTCAACACGGAGCAGGTGGAGGCGTAGGGAGCTCTGACTGCAGTAGGTCCTGCCGCAGAGGAAGCCGGGAATGTGGCCCAGCACACAACCAAAGACTTACTTAAAACATGCTGAGGTGTGTGTGTGTGAATACACGTGTGTGCACACGTTCTCAGCGCACTGCATTCTCCAGCTGAGCTTCATCGGTGACATCTGCTCACGATGTGGGACACTCTTGTCACTTGGAGGAGTATGAAATGGCCCTTTCCCCAGTCAGACTTCTCTTCCCCCAAGCTCTGCACCACTGTGGGTCAACACAGCACTTTCTCACAAGGGTTGGTGACAGCTCTAGGCTCTCACTCTCGCTGGTTTAAGGAAAAGAATTGGAGGAGTGAACACACTTGCCTTTCTCCTATTTAGTATGAATTCCTAAAGCCAGTCAGCTTGCAGCAAGATGGCCGAGGGCTCCAACTCTGGCCAGAAAACTTATGAAGTGCATTTCAAAGCCTGCAGTGTAACACATTTTGTAGAACTTAAATGGGAGTGTCTTGTTCATGTAGTTATCTTGCTAAAAGTACCCACTGCCTGATGGAGGCTTACAGAGGGAAAGACTTGCATCAGAATGCCACGGAGAGTAGGGAGCAGTTAGTCAGACTGTGACGTGGCCCTGCTGTGAGGCTGAGGTGTAAGTGCTTGCCAGCCACTCTTCACCCCTTCCCCTTCCAAAGTCCCAGAAGCAAAGACCTCTGCTTATCAGTGTTCTTATTTTGTAGAAACTGCACTTGTAGGATAAAGGTGTTTTTGGGTTAGCCACTTTTGAGGCCATGTGATAACAGAGAAGAGGGGCAAAGTTGCATGCTGTAGTTTAATAATAATATTGATAAAGGTGGATTTCTTATAAATAAGTCATTTTACTTCCTTGGACTCAACTCTTTGGTTTTGATATTTGACCTAAAATTAAGTTCACGCTTTATTTTGATGCTTCTCTTACATCGTGGACAAGAGCAATGTTAAAGTCTGCAGCAGCTCTTCCTGCCTGACCCTTAGTCTGGCCTTTGTGTTCTGTGTAGCTTGCACCGTCTCTTCCGTTACAAGAAGACTTCGTTTACCACTGGAAGGCAATTACCCACTACTACATAGAAACGTCAGGTAAGGGCCGTTCATGGCTGTGGTCTGCTTCAGATATGTCAGCTTTCACTTAAACAGTTTTGCCTTTGAGTTCTCTTTTAGGGTCATCTAAAATGTAGCTTTGAGCATCTCCTGTGTGGGCATTGTTATAGGCACTGGGACTTGAGTCTCACACAGCCCTGTCCTGACAGAGTGTATGTGTTGGCTGAGGGAGGAAACAGTGGGCGGGAACATGCTGACGGTGTGGCAGACAGATGTTAAGGGAAACAAACGAAGCAGGCAGGATTGGGGTGGCCATGTGTTTGGGGGTGTAGACTGGGCTACTTCACACTAGGGAAGACCATGGTGCCCTTTGGCCCTCCCACTCGAGTGGCCCTATCTGCTGCTCTATCGTCCAGCCCCTCATTGTGTATATGAGGAACTTGCTGGAATGTCCGTGAGGAGAGGTGACCAGTGAATAAGTTGAGGAGAGCATGGGAAGAAAAACGTGTAGACAGTGTGTGATTGCTCTCCTGGGCGATTGTGAAGAGACAGGAGAGGAGAATGTGGCTGCAAAGGAGGCTATGAACTTCTTTAGGGTGTGGGGGTACAGGAGATGACACTGGGTATTCTCCTCAAGCATGCCACCACTTTTCTTTTTTAAATCTCCCTCTGTCTCTCTCTCATGCTCTCTCACTCATACTCTCACTCCTCTCCCTTTCCTTCTTCCTCTCTTTTCTCTCCTTCTCTTTGGGGTGGGTAGGTGGGGGTGTGTGTGTGTGTGTGTGTGTGTGTGTGTGTGTGTGTGATATGTATGAGTAATCGTGCGTGTGTAGAGGGCAGAGTTGGTTGTCTTCAGGCTTGCACACAGGCACCTTGGCCCATTGTCTTGTTGGCTCGCTCCACTGTGCTTTTGGAGACACCGTCTCTTTGTAGAGTTAACTGATTGACTAGGCTGATGGGCCAGTGAGCTCTGAGAAGTGTCTGTGTTCTCGGTAGCACTGGAGCAGACAGACACAGCACCTGCTCTTGACCTGGGTGTCAGGAGTTTGAGTTCAGGTCCCCATGCATGGATGATGAGCTAGACCCACTGACATCCCAACATCCCCCACATGTGCTTCAGATAAGGTGTTGGGGTGGGGCTGTGGCTGTGGCTCCATGGTAGAGCACTGGCCTGGCATAACCTAAGTGCTGGGTTCTGGCACTGGCATTTAAAAGAAGGAAACAGAAGGAGGGAGGGAGGGAGGCTGTAAGTAGGCCTCAGGTTACAGTGGAGGAAAGGGCAGATACCAGAGCAGGGCTGTTCATGGGCATCACCCTACCAAGGGAAGAGACAGCAGTGTGCAGGTGGGGCCCCCTCTGCTGGGGGATGGGTTGCCCACGGAAACGAGGCAGCCTCTGAAGATGGTTCTGTTCTGATCACTGAGTAGAAAGGTAAGATGGGGCAAAGGGGCAGATTGAGGATTAGCGACCCTTGTAGACTTCAGCCCTTCTAGGCCAGACTGTGTTCTTTGCCTGTATTATCTGTGCTGCTGAAGCACAGAGGCAGCCACCTGCCAAGCACAAGCAATGGTCATCCTGCCGTGGGGACATTTAGGAACTGAGGTGGGCCTCCCCTGTCCCTGCCCTCTCAGGGTTGTGCGGTGTGGTAGTGAATCTCAGATCATGCACACATCCTTTAACAAAGGCAGAAGCAAAGCATGGGAAGGGCTCTCTGGCAGCTGCTGAGGTCAGAGGTTGCTTGCACTCACTGAGCACATTTCGTGGTAGCAGCTGACCTGCAGATGCAGTTTTTGAGACTACCTTTTATTATTAGCTTTTGCATTTTTCCCCCTTCCTCTGGGGCTTTGAGGAAAGACACATTCTTGCTTTAAAAGATTTTTTTTTCTCTAATGTGCAAGTGTGCACATTAGTTAACGTGTGGGACAAGTGTGGTCTGAGTCAGGTAGAATCCCAGGATGGAGAGGACGGAGGGAGAGGGCATCGACAAGCAGACTGACCTGGCTTTAAGTGATGGCAGTCCTGAGGAGGAGGTATGACAGGCAGGAGTGTTTGCCGGGACATAGCAGTGGGACACGGTAGGAACAACAGACAAGGAAAGACAGAAACTGGACCTTGCCTTTCAGAGATGATTCCCGATGATAAGATACATGCCAGGACTCGGATCACAGAAGGGTTGTGCTGCTCCTAACAAAGATGGCCACCCCGTGAGCAAGCGTGACGTGTCTTCTGCCTTTCCTGTTTTGAGGTGGAGAGGAATGTCGCTGCACACAGGAAGGGGTTTGTGAGCATGTGTTTGATGAGGTTTTCTGTTGTTTAGATGATAAGGCCCCAGTGACGGATACCAACATCCCATCCCACCTGGACCAGATGTTGGACATACTGGTCCAAGAAGAAAACGAGCGGGAATCTGGAGAGACGGGGCCATGCATGGAGTACCTGCTCCATCACAAGATCCTGGAGACATTGTACACCCTGGGGAAAGCTGACGTAAGTCCCTGGCCACCCCGTGCTGGAGGCTGCAAGTGCCCAGCTTAAGTGTGGAGGTGGGAATGGCACGTGGTAGTGTTTGGCCTGAGGCTGGGGAGAGGAGGGTGTGTTTCCTGAGCAGCTGTGACATCACAGAACAAGCAGAGCCTGAAGTGCTCTAGACCACAGGACCTCTTGGCTGCGTCGATCCCAGCTAGGGCAAACCTTTGGGAAGATAAACTCAAGTACCTGTGCTCACAATCAAATGGGATAAGAACTGTTCGACAGTTGCAATCTAAGAGTCCATGGTTCTGAGAGGGGATCATTCTGACATTCACTGCACCATCACAGTGGACACAGAGCAAATTTTAGGTTTAATGAACTTTGAAAAATCTTTGCAAATTTAATATTATCATATAAATAGTATCTTGTGCCACAGAAGCTTCAAATTCATGCAGCCTTAGCACCAGGGCCAGGGCCAGGGCGTGTTCTGAGACACGTGCGCTGGTTTTGTGCTGTGGGCACCATAGTGTGTGCAAACCCCAGGATGCCCCCACTGCACCCTGCACGCTAGCGTGACCTGCAGTGTTTGAACTGGACTGGGAAGTGATTGTCTGACCCTCCTCTAGCTTGAAACCTCAGCAGCCCTGTGAACCTCTGTAACGCAGAAAACGAAAATGAAGTGATACACATTTTAATACTGCATAGTTGTAAACTAAAAGGTGTTAGCTTCTTTTGAGGTACATTTGCGTTAAGTGCATGCTTTTCTCAGGAATGAATCTGTGCCTTAGTAACTGGCATCACATTCTTATCCTGCTTGTTGCCATGCTGTTTAGTGAGGGATTTCACAGCGCTGACTTGTTTGGTGTTATAGGAAAATGGTAGTAACTGTACTGCTAGTAAATTCATTTCTGATAGAATTGATTGTAAACGTTGTTACCATTTTATCGGAATAATATAAGGTTGCTGTCACCCTAAATTACCATTGTGCTGAAGGCTGCATTTTAGGCTTTGCCAGATAGCATGTCTTCGATGGATGCACGTTTGTAGGCTGTGTCGTCCACTTTGTCACAGAACAAACGACCCGGCTGACTCATGCTCTTTTAGTCCAGCAAGATAGCTGGCATGCTGAGAACGTCCAGTCTTGTTCCTCATGAAGCTCATAATCCAGATGTCTTCGCACTTAGCTTAGTCGCCTGCCCGGGCTCCTTTACTGACGTCTTTGTGTTACTTGTGATCTGTTCCTGGCTGTGAGTAACAAGAGCTGCTCCTGGTGCTGCAGAGCGTGAGCGCTCAGGCCCCTGCTCTCCCAGAAGTCACACCCTTACGTGCCTGAAGCAGAGGCCAGTCTCACCAGCCCTTGCTCGCTGTGGCATGTGTGCTCCCCCGAGGCTGGGGTCACGCCTGCCGTGTTACGGTCTCCGTGTGTCATTGCCTTTCTAGGGTGCCAGTCACAAATTATTATTAATATTATTATTGTTGTTGGGTTTTGGAGACAGGGTTTCTCTGCGTAGCCCTAGTTGTCCTAGACTTGTAGACCAGGCTGGCCTCGAACTCACAGAGCTCTGCCCTCAGAGTGCTGGGATCACAGGCGTGCGCCACAGAACTTGGTGCCAGGCAGGAATATTAATGGACAGTTCTATCCTGGCAGAGTCACCAGCTGGTCACTTGTGTTGTCTTTGAGGGGATATGTGGATGGTCCTGGTCTGTCCTGTTGCCAGCATTCACGTGTGTTTCTCGTCTGTCCCATGCCCAGTGTCCTCCAGGAATGAAGCAGCAGGTTTTAGTGTTCTACACCAAGCTCCTGGGAAGAATCCGACAGCCCCTGCTTCCACACATCAATGTGCACAGGCCTGTGCAGGTACCCACTCTCTTGACCTCAGAGCAAAGTGCGCTGGATTCAGTGTGCACGTGATCTTGTATTGTTTTCCTAAGAGAGAGAATAATGGAGGACAGTATTCCATCACAGCATGAAAGTTAGCGAATGTTTGTAGTTCCCTTATATCTCACCGTATTTATATTTTTCTGTAAAGTTTTATACATTAATATTCATTTTATTTTTTCTCCATAACATTACAAAGAAAGTTTTAAACTTAAATTTATTTTGATAGAAATTAATTCGACTCTGTGGTGAGGTCCTTGCAACACCGACGGAAAATGAAGAGATCCAGTTTCTCTGCATCGTGTGTGCGAAGCTGAAACAGGACCCCTACTTGGTTAACTTTTTTCTGGAGGTACGCCATGTTTCTCAGACCTGCAGCTCGTATGGAAATTGAAATCAAATCCTCGCAGGAGCAATTCAGGACTGTGAGTTCTGCCCACCAAGAGTACTCTTCACTTAAGATCAGTGTTTATTCCAACCCGAACTCACCAGGATCGGAGAATTTCAAGGAATGCAGTTGAGCCAGATCTACAGGTGGGACTGAGACCAGGAATCCCAAGCCTGGCTGAGACCGAGGCTCGGGGGATGCTGTGCCAGGGAGTGTGGGAGAGCAGCGAGCAGAGGTGGGCAGGCTGGTCAGCACCTCACCAAGCCAGCAGCTTGTTTGCCTTTTGGACGGCTGCAGCAGTTTGTACTATTTTTATGGCCACAGTCAAGACATGGTCTGTTTCAACTGATATTTTAAATTTTACTTACAACTTTAAAAGGGAAAATATTGTGTCTACTTACTGCTTTTCACTTTCTTTTTTCCTTTAATCTTTTTTTGGACTTTTTTTCTTTTTCTTTTTCTTTTTTTCTTCTTTTGGTTTTTCAAGACAAGGTTTCTGTGTAGCCTTGGCTGTCCTGGACTCACTTTGTAGACCAGGCTGGCCTCGAATTCCCAGGGATCTGCCTGCCTCTGCCCTGAGTGCTGGGAGGACAGGCCACCACACCCAGCCTTTTTAAGATTTTTTTAAATGTATGTCTACATGTTCGTGTGAGTGTGTGCATGCATGTATTTGTGCATATGCGTGTTTGTGTGTGTGTGTGTGTGTACAGACGTGCTCTGAACCTGGCGTTCACTGGTTAGGATAGGCTGCTGGCCATGGAGCCCCAGGGATCTTCCTGTGAAGATCCTAGAGTGCAGGGACTCGGTGTGGGCCACTGTGGTGGGTGCTGGGAATCTCAGCGGAAGCCCTCGCCTGCAGGAGCATTTGGCAGCTTAACCAGACCCCCGCCCTTCCTGTTTGCTGATCAGTGAAATCACTGAGGATGGTGTCAGGAAAAGTAGCCGTGTTTCAAGACCCCATCAGGATGGTCGTACTCAGGTGCCTGCTGTTTCTGGACCTCATGAGGGTCTTAGGGTTTTTAGAGTCTGCCATTTTAACGTATTGGCTTGTCTTCTTTTTTTTGGCTTGTCTTCTATTGTTGAATAGATAATTTTGGGTCCTATCTGCAGCATTTCTGGAGGCTGGCAGGCTGCTCAGCTGCAGAATGACATGGTTTGGTTCTGTATGCAGTGCTCTGGCCGGAACCGGTAGATGAGGGGCAGCCTTTGCCTTCTGATGAAGAGGCTAGTGGTCAGCTGTGCTGAGGGGAGGAAGTTGAGCATCGGAAGACGGATGCAAGAGAAGCACTGGAAATGTCCATGGGGTGGAGAGCTCACTTCTGCTGGGGTCGGCAGAAAGACTTCTGGAAAGAGGTCTCTGACTTCTGGGAAGAGGTCACCTTTGTGACAAGCCTTGAGAAATGCCTAGCTAGAGATGAGTGGGCCTAGGAATGAGTGTGTTCAGGAAGCAGTATGTGCAGGGTGTGTAAAGACAGGCCGGAGCTGTGTGAGGCTCTGAATGGCGGATGTGTGTTCTCTGGAGCCACTAGAGAGTTCTGAGCACGGGTGGTTACGTGACTGGGTCTATGCCTGAGCACCTGCCCTCAGGCAGCATTCGGAGTGGGTTCGCTTAGGAGGGAGGAGTGTGGGGAGGTGACCCAGTGGGAAGAGCAGGGTTGAGCTGCGGTGTGCCAGCCTGCAGTGGCTGCAGAAGGAAGGCTCGGTGGGCCTCAGAGTAAAGATTGATGAGAGGGTTGGACAAGTTGCTCAGCGGCACCTCGAGTGCCCGGCAGCTGTGAAGCCATGTGTTCAGTACCGTGCCCGAATCTGCTTGCCCTGGAGATGGAGGCGAGCGGGGCAGAGCGAGCCCGAGCGTGCTGCTCCCGCGTGTGGCCCTGGCCCGGCCCGCAGCGCAGCAGCGCAGCAGCGCAGCAGGAAGGCGGCGGGGAGGGGGGAGGGCGTGAGCTCGGGCTTGTGCGGGCGGTGGAGCCCCGCCGCTCTCCGTTCTGAGCAGGGCTCTCACTTGCACACTTGATTTCAGAACAAGTCGAGGTCACTGATGTCCAGAGCAGCCCCGGGCGCTGCCTCGGAAGAGGAGCCTCGAGGCCAGGGCGCTGAGTCAGCGGAGCCCAGCCAGCAGCCCGGGGCCACGGGCGCGGCCGGGGGGCGCTCGGGGTGTGAGGACGAGCCCCCGGCCGACGAGCTGTCCGCCAGCCTGGACGACCTCAGCCTGGGCCCCGCTCGGTCGAACCACGACTACAATCTCGTGACCTCCCTGCTGAACCTGACGAGGAGTCCCGTGAGTGGCCGCCCTCTCCCCGGCATCTGAGGTGCAGACGCGCGGCCCTGGGGCCCGGGGCCCTGCTCCGGGAGAGCCCTGAGCCCTGGCCTGTCTCCCTTCTCAGGACGGCCGCATAGCCGTGAAGGCGTGCGAGGGACTGATGCTGCTGGTGAGCCTGCCGGAGCCCGCGGCTGCCAGGTGCCTGGCGCAGAGCAGCTGCCTGTGCGAGCTGCTCACGGGCCGCCTCACCGCCCTGTACCAGGCGCTGCCCGCGTCCGTGGACCCGCTAGACATCGAGACGGTGGAGGCCGTCAACTGGGGGTAAGTCAGGCTCTGCTTTCCTCGGGGGCCGCTTGTGGTTTACACGGACAAGTAAACCAGGAGCGTTTACTTTTAGTGAGCCCCACCAGTGCTTGTTCAGGGAATGGTTTCTTGAACTCACATTGGTCATTAGTGGTGATAATTGTGCAGGCGCAGCCCAGGGGCTGCAGAGTTCTTTAATTGTTCACTGCAGAGTGTGTGTCAAGACCGGTTCGGAACTGCTCGTTGACAGCAGAGCGTGGAGAGGGCTGTGTCTGCCTTTGAGACACACTCACTCTCACTGGAGTCTCACTCTGTGGCCTTGGCACAGCAGCTCACAACTGCCTATAATTCTGGCCCCAGGGATCCACGCTTCTAGCCTCCATGGGAGCCTGCACCCACACACAGGCACACATTGCTACACACACTAACAGAGCTTTAAGAAAGTAGGGATTTTGCATAACATTTATAAATTAATATAAAAGCAGCATTAAAAACTATTCACAAACTTGCTACCAATCAGCAGCCTGATTTTGTTGTTGTTGTTGTTGTTTTTAAGAGTTGAATGTGTACAGTAATTGAGCGTTTCCTGCAGTGCACTTCGGTCACACTTATGCCTCCCCCAGTGCCCCTGAGATCCACCCTCCCTCCCAGGAAGGCATGACTTCCACCCGCCCCGGAGCCCCGTTTCTCCTAAACCGATTGAATCCAGTTGAGGACAGCCTAACATTTTCATCTGTTTACCGTTTGTCACTTTCCTCTGATTTGGTCCCACGCTGCTGCCGTTTGCTCATGCCCTCATGAAGGCAGCCACACACATCAAGCACACACTGCACTGGGGCAGAGGGAGCGGCCTTCCTTGGCGGCTTGGTGTCCATGTTGCTCTGGGTGTGGAAGAGCTGGCTCTGGTGCCTTCTCTCCTTATAAAGCAGGCGGCCTGCCTGCTCACCTTGCTCTTTGTTCTTTGGCCCTGCAGGTTGGACTCATACAGTCATAAGGAGGATGCGTCCGCTTTCCCGGGGAAGCGAGCTTTAATTTCCTTTCTTTCCTGGTTTGATTACTGTGACCAGCTCATCAAGGAGGCACAAAAGGTTTAAATTCTTCATTGTCTGTTGATGGTTTTAACATGTGTTTATTAAGTAAGACTTGCATCGCTCTTCCAAAGTGCCACATGCTTTGCAAACACCCACTAGACAGCGATGGCTCCCCTTCAGCTGTCCCCTTTGGGGAGATGTAAAGTTATTGGGATTTTTTCCCCTGTCCTTCTTAGTTTTGGGGGGCATGGGGTGGTACAAAAGCAGATAACTGTCCTTGCAGAGGACCCAGGTCTGGTCTCAGCTCCACATAGCACTGGCCTTGGGTGAGCTCAGGGTCCTTAGGCCCACAGTGATGTGCTGGTGCCCGTGCTGTCTTCTAGACGGCCGCTGTTGCTCTCGCCAAGGCCATCCATGAGAGGTTCTTCACAGGAGTCATGGAGCCCCAGCTAATGCAGACGTGAGTGCCCTCTCCCCTGACAGAGGTGGCCCCTGGCCCCTGGCCATCATTGTGCCCGCTGACCCACCTGCTCTGCCTAGGTCGGAGATAGGGATTCTGACGTCAACGGCCCTGCTGCACCGCATCGTGCGGCAGGTGACCTCGGACGTCCTGCTCCAGGAAATGGTGGTCTTCATCCTTGGAGAGCAGAGGGAGCCAGAGACTCTGTCAGAAATCAGCAGACACCCCCTGAGGCACAGGTTAATCGAGCACTGCGACCACATATCTGATGAGGTGAGCCGTGCCTGCCAGCGCCGGCCTAGAGTCTGTGAAATGTGGCTTTTTAGTGTGCTTGGGATTTTATTTTGTGATGGCAAGGGTCGGGGTGGTGGTGAGGGTCGGGGTAGTGGTGAGGCACGGTGAAGGGTCAGGGTGGTGGTGAGGCTTGGGGTGGTGGTGAGGGTCTGGGTGGTGGCAGGCATGTTCGCAGAGGTCAGAGGGAAGCTCGCAGGAGTCGACCTTGTGTGTGTGTCCCGGGTTGAACTCAGGTGATCAGGCGTGGCATCAGGTTCTGTAGGAGGGCACCACCTCGAGGCCCGGCTTGTGATCTCTTTCATGTGGCTTTAATGGCTGACGGTCTGGCTGGTGAAATGGCGAGGAGGGCAGCGGCCGTGAAAGTGTTTTTCAGCTTTTACCAACGTTGCTTTCAGATAAGCATAATGACCCTGAGGATGTTTGAGCATCTTCTACAAAAACCCAACGAGCACATTCTTTACAACTTGGTCCTAAGGAATCTTGAAGAAAGAAACTATACGGAGAACAAACCGCTGTGCCCGGAAGACAAGGACGTGGTGGAGAACGGGCTGATAGCAGGAGCCGTGTAAGTGTGAGGTCTGGGTGATGTCTCCCTGCCAGAACTCTCTCCCAGCACCTCAGCCGCCTCCCCGTAAGTGGCAGAGGCCAGTAGTCCTCCGCTGCCAACAATAGCAGTGAGCCCTGGAGATTACTAGTGTAATTTCATATTAAATATGTTGGCTCTTATTTCTTTGTATTAGAAAAATTTTATGATGTTTCTCAGAAACTAGCAGAGAATCTTTTGGTTTAGAAAATATAATAAATGTTGTTTTTTATACATCATTAAATTAAACGTAGAGATCTGGAGGAAGATCCATTATTTACTGACATTTCACCAGATAACACTCTGCCAAGCCAAGAGTGGGTCAGCTCACCCCATGCCAGCCCAGACCACCCCAAAAATGATGGCAAGACGGAGGTCCACAAAATCGTCAACAGGTGGGTCGCTGGGTGTCTGTCCCTCCTTCTGAATGAAGCAGCTCGGCCCGTAGTTGTCAGGTGAAGGTACTGTCTTCCACAGGTGCCGTCAGCGTCTGTGTCTTGGTTATGCAGCAAGTGACAGCTGGGGCAACAGCTGGCGGGGTGGGGGGGGGCCTGGCATAACAGAAAAGTCAGTTTTCTTAAAGTGCTGGCCATTCTGCTCGGGCTTCTGAGGTGAGCACTTTCTCAGGGGAAGTAATTGAGAAAGAAGTACAGGCCAAGGGCGCCATCGAGTCCCTACGAGCGATCTAGCCTATCGGATTCCCAGATGCAGCAGCACTGGCAATTGCCAGTCTGACACGGGATCACAGGCATGTCCGTTAAAGTGTTGAAGTATTTTTTCAATTTACATTTAAAGTGTCTTTTCATGACATTTCCTCTTGTGTCTTTGATTTTAATGCTGTCATTGATATGCCTGGTCCTGGCAGATGAAATTAAAAGACACACACACCAAAAACCATCTGGCTCAAATGTGAAATTACAGTCCCTAAGAATGTCTCAGGCTAGTTTCTGAAGGCCACTCCCATTCTTGTGCCATAGTCTGAAGTTTAAGTCTGTGTTAGGCTTATTTGTGTTTCATACAGGATTATTTTTGATAAAACTTTTACTTAATAATCTGAAGGCTGGCTACCATCCATCAAAACTTGAAGTGTGCTTTCATTTTTCAAGTTCCCATTTGCATCCATAACCGGTTAAGTTCCTGCGTAGTGTGTGAGAGCCTGCGGTGCCGAGCGACTGCGCTCACGGCGGCCTTTCCCTTTCAGTTTCCTCTGTCTGGTGCCAGATGAAGCAAAGTCATCCTACCATGTTGAGGGCACTGGTTATGACACCTACCTCCGAGACGCTCACAGGCAGGTAGGTGACACACCGGACCTGTTTGGGGGTGCGTGGGGGTGTAAAAGCACAAACGTGTCGCCCTCCCCACTACCTTGCCTGGTTGGCAGCAGCCCTTCCTCCAGAGAAAGAAGTCGACTCACCTGAAAAATGAGACGCAGCTCTGCTAGCCCCATTAATTTGTTCATTCATTCATTCCTTCCTTCGTTCATTTGTTTAGTTTTGGTTTGGGGGTCTCAGGTTAGCCAGGCTGGCCTTGAATTTGCTTTTCTCTCCCAAGTGCTAGGATTACAGATGTGTGCCACCATACCTGGCTCTGAAGGGCTGGTTGTTTGGTTGGTTGGGTTTTAAGTTGTTTGTTTTTATGTGCATTGGTGTTTTGATTGCATATTCTGTGTGAGGGTGTCAGACCCCCCCTAGGGCAGGGGTCACAAACAGCTGTGAGCTGCCTTGTGGGTGCTGGGAATTGAACCTCTGGAAGATTAGCCAGGGTTTCTAACCACTGAGCCATCTCTCAAGTGCCCTCCAGGGCTAGGTTTATTGCATTTACTGACATGTCATTCAACACAATAAATAAGGAAGTACTAGAAAAATGCAGTAGAAAACGCCCCCGATTATTTCCCTGTTGGATTTGGCCAATATGAAACGGCCTAGTCAGGTCATGAGATCTGAGTGCCAGCGCTCCTTTTCCATCCTTCTCATGGATGGCCTCCTCGAGGGCCACCCCCTGGAGGGCGCTGGTTCATCCTGGCACCTGCCTGGAGTCTGTCTGTTCTGAGAGGAGCAGGCTTGCTTGGTGACAGGCATCACCCATCCGTTCCATGTAAATGCAGTGTAAAAGCATGTAACACCTTAGAGGATGCTTTGGCTCTGAACCAGTGCTCTCCATTTCTGCCGCTGTGGCTGGAGTCAGCCCTGCAGAGGAAGGACCACAGCAGACGCTGCAGAAGTGCCTCAGTCACGTGTGCTGCTGCTCCCCGCCTTGACGGCCGCCTCCGCTGTGGTGTGCCCTGCTCCTCCTGGTCGGGAGATGAGCTGACGTCCCCACTCCGAAACATCAGGCACAGCTGACAGTCACGGGTTCTTTATATGGTGTCTGAGGAAATTGTTTCTGTTTCATCTTGAAGTGTTTCTTGCCTGTTCTTTAATACCCAAATACTTTCCTCCTAGTTCCGGGACTACTGTGCTATCTGCTTACGATGGGAGTGGCCTGGAGCCCCGAAACCTCTGGAAAAGTGTGATTTAGATGCAGCCTTCTTTGAAGGACATTTTCTAAAAGTTTTATTTGACAGAATGGGAAGAATTCTTGACCAGGTGATGTATTGGGAGATCCTGGTTTCCATGCTGTGGTGTTGACCTCTTGTGTGATCGTGGCTGAGTCTGTCCTTGGCTGAATGGCTGTCCGTGGGCTGTGAGTGCAGAGCCAGAGGCTGGTTTTCACTGTGCCCAGTGGATGGGAACGGAGCCTAGTGTCCCGCCCGCCTGGCAGGCCCCCAGATCCCCTTTGCTGTCCCAGGCGCTTGTCCGTCACCTCTTGGTAGCTTGTTGTAAGCAGCCAGTTGTCTCTGGCTGCTTGGAAAAGCTGATAGCAGAGTGGCTCCGTCAGGAGTCCTGAGCACCTCTCGCAATCCTGCTGGCTTCTCACCAGTGAGCAGCAGTGAGACCCTGAGGTGAAGAAATCCCGTGAGTCCACGTTTGTGACCCGTCTAAGGAGGTGCACACACACGGGCTTCTGTAAAAGGCTGTGTTTAAAAGTCCAGGTACCATGTTGTTAGGACATCGCTTTGGTATGTCCTGTGTAGTTCACATGTGTCTGACACAGTGGCGGGCTTTGGTGGCCTGCTGCACTCGTGACACAGTTGCGGGCTGGATGGGAGCTCTGTCTCTCTGTGGGTGGTGATGCCTGTCCTCTGTCTCCCTAGTCTGAGCTCCTTGCAATGAGTGTGTTGGCCTCGGTGATGAGGGCTAAGTTAGCTGCGGGCATCTCCCTTGCAGAAGGGTCAGGGGCAGTGGCATCCCCTCCCTGGAAGCTGGGACACGAATCCTGTGTTTGCTTCCTCACAGCCCTACGATGTGAATCTGCAGGTGACCTCCGTACTGTCCAGGCTTTCCCTCTTCCCTCATCCACACACACATGAGTACCTTCTGGACCCCTACGTCAACCTGGCCCCTGGCTGCAGATCGCTGTTCTCCGTGACTGTCAGGGTGAGTTCACTAAGGCTCTGGACTGCAGGCCTTCCAGCGGCAGGCACACCTTCGTCTCACGCGTGTGGTCGGTGTGAGGAAAGGGTAGCGAGCGCTGCGGGTACTTGCCGGCCATGCGGGACCACTGCACAGTCAGGCCTTCCTCGCCGCCGCTAGCACGTGGGCCAGAGAGGTGCTTCAGGGCTTAGCACTGGCTTTTGCGGACCCAGGCTTAGTCCCCAGCACCCACACAGGGACTCACAACCATCCGCAACTCCAGTTCCCAGGATCAACACCTTCTCAACTCCACAGGAACCAAGCACACATGTACACATACATGCATGCAGGCCAAACACTCATGCAGAAAGGAAGTAAATGTAGCCGTTTTGTTTATAGAAATGTGCTTGTGTGTGTGTCTACCTGAGCATGCGTGCACAGGCCCATGCCACATGCATGTGTATGCAGGTGTGCTTGGCCAGACGTGCTTCCCTCCAGGCCAGAGGCTGTGTCAGGGCTCTTCCGCTGTCACCCTCCACTTTAGTTTCTGGGGTGAGGTCTTCTGAACCCACAGCTCAGCCTCTCAGCCGGGCGGGCTGCCAGTGAGGCCGGGATTGTCCTGTGTGCACTGGCAGGGCTGGAGTGTGGGCGCTCACAGCTGCTCCAGCGTCGGTGTGGGCGCTGGGGGCGAGAGCTCGGGTCCTCACGCTGGCATGCGCACACACCACCCACAGGGCCACCTCCCCGGCCCTGACCTTTAATTATGAAGATGAGGTAGAGTTGTTAGAAATGAAGACGGAAATCCCAACACTTCTGTTTTACCAATAAGGACTCAGGAGCCAGACGCTGGTGCTAGCTCAGAGAGGCAGAGAAAGCACCTAGCTGACCTTCCTTCTCAGCTCAGGTCCAGATGGAAAAAACCCAAAAGGCTCACAAGCTCAGCTGACAGCCCAGGAGGAAAAGGCCAAAAAACCCAAGGCCAAAGGCTTGCTAGTTCAAAACCCAGAAAGCCAGGAGCTGAGGAGCTGAAGCCTAAGCTAAAGCCAGAGGTTGAGCTAAAAGCCCCGCTTCTCCACGCTGTCTTAAATATCCCTCACCTCAAAGCCCCTCCTACTCTTTCATCCCTGTCAGCTGGTCTCTTGCTTGGCCTCTTGACCTAGCGTTAACTTCATTAGATTGCGATTACAGAGAGCTCCTGAGTTAAAGGTGTGTGCGAGGGCTGGGCGACTACTCCATGCTCAACTGTTCACAATAACAAAGTTTGTGGATTAAAGGTGTGTGTTAGGGATCAGCCAAACCGAGCAATGGACAGGATTTTACAGTTCACAATTTTGGGGTTCACAATGGGATCAAATATCCTGGAATAAGGTAGGAGTTGGTTGGTCAAAGATCAGTGACTGGGAGGAAGGTGTCTGAGGAAGATCCCGGTGGAGTCAGCCGGGAGCTGAGTTCTTGGCTTCTCATACAGGTCGTTGGCGACCTCATGGTTCGGATTCAGCGCATTCAGGACTTTACCCCCAAGCTTCTCCTCGTCAGGAAGCGGCTGCTTGGCCTGGAGCCGGAAGGCCCGATGTGAGTCAGGGTTAATAGACTTTGTCCAGAGTCCCCCACTCTGTGCTGTGCTGTTGTCCTGACTCTCTGTGTGCTCTCTCCAGTGTTGACCACATCACCTTGCTGGAGGGCGTGATTGTGTTAGAGGAGTTCTGCAAGGAGCTGGCGGCCATTGCGTTTGTGAAGTACCACGCTTCTGCCACGCCGTGAGTCCCTGTGACATCACCCGCTCAGCCAGGAGAGGGCAGGAAGCCCCGTGAGTGTCGCCTGACCTGGACAGCACGCTTAGAGCCCACTCGTGATGGCGCTCGGCGGGGCTGGTGCTGCTTCCACCGGCTCTGCCATCTCCATTCTCTGTGTTTGCACGTTGCTGAAACCCGGGAAACAAGCGGATGAGCTCAACTTAGCAGCCTGTGACTGAGAAGCCGCAGATGTCTCATTTAGGACTGGCTGTGTTCCTGTTATTTTAATATCCTTTTAGGCAGCAAGGCATTCTGACATTCTCTGGGACTCAAGTGCTTACATTCTTTTGTATTAATAAGCAGCAAAAAAAATAACTAATTTTATAACTTTTAAGGTTAAGATTCTTATCATACAAAATGTTTAGGAAAACTGTAAATGAGAAAAAATGTAGTTGAGGAAACATGGGAAGCATGTCTAGGAGATGAGAACATGGAGAGCACCATCGACCTCCTCAGCTTTTGTAAGAATAACAATTTACTATGACAAAAAAGTTCTTAATTAATATATTATATATATTTTTAAAGAAATGTTCTTTTACTCTCCTGTGCACATAGCCATGTTCGTGGTTGGTTTTCACGTGTGGCTCCCAGTTAATTTAAACTGTCGTTTTTGCCACAGCATCGGATTCATGTTCATCCTTGATAGTGTTTGCTAAAATAGCATTTTTTAATCTAATTAACATGCTGGTGGAGCCCCACCCCCAGCTCCCTCTGAAGTTGCATCATGAGCTTGCTTCCTTCCTGAAGTGAGGGCTAGTGTTCGTGGGGCCTGCCGAGAAGCAGCAGCCAGGGTGCCGAGGGCCTCTCGGTGTTTACATTTGCTTTTCATTTGTTCAGTCCTCTGTCCTAAGTGATTCTAAAGATATATGTATTTTGGGTCTCTTCCTGTTCAGTTTACACCTTGCTTAGGGAGACAGTGTGAGTGAGTGCTTGGAGGCAGGATGGCTGGGTAGCCAGGTGCAGGGAATTGCTGTGGGACACTGCTTGTCCCCTTGTCTTCTGGTCTTCAGGTGACTGAGCTGGTCCCTCGTACGTGGCTCCGAAGCCCATGTCCTTGTTGAAGTGCTAGATAGCAGGCCCTGGGGTGTGTCACAGCACGCTTGACATGTGGCTTGGTCCGTTTTACTAGTGTTTCTGACTCCTTTTATAGTTCAGTTTTGCTACTTAGGAACAAAATAGCAAAAGATTAAGAAGAGCCCCAGTCCCAGGCTGCTCATCGCTGACAGCGCAACTACTGTGTGTCTCTAACACGATGCAGATCTTTCCTTGCTCATTCAGGAAATCCATTAAGTAAAGCCGAGAGGTTGAGAGTGAGAAACAGTGCTTCCCTACATGGCTTCCCTCCCATGGTTTTGAGTGGTGAGAAGTCACGGCCGTATTGAAGTGGAGAAGTGGCTCCTTTGGTTGTATTTATTGACTGGCCTGTGCGAGAGTCGCCACATCACCTCATTCTGAGATGTTGCTACAGTCTGCATTGATGAAGGTGTGTTTGAAGTGAGGCATTGAGAGTGTCAGGCAGTTCTTACTGTTCCCGTCATGCCCTGGGGCTGTGGGGCACTGAGGTGCCCCCCCGGCCAAATACTGGTCCTTCACAGCTGGCCTGATGCTGGCCCCTCGGATGGGCGTGCGAAGCTTTAACTGTGTGTTTGCTGCTTCTGAAGATAGTTTTCCTAAGCTGACGGCCTTGGCCTGTACCCAGCTCTGCTTAACCTGCTTCTCTTCTGAGCTTAATTTCTCCTTCACATTTAGTTCAGACCCAGAGTCAGCACAAGTCACGAACTGACTTTGAGTCGGTTTGTTCAGGGAGCCATGTGCCACTTCCCAGGCTATTCCCAGTCTGAGAGCCCGGCGCAGACTGTGGCCACCCCGCCGGCGGCCACGGTGAGCTCCAGACTGAATTCTAGCCCTCCTCCTGTTTGTATAAATAAGAAGTGCGAATGCACATCTGTTCCTTTTACTTTCTAACCGTGTTGTCTTCGGGTTTATTTTCAGTAATGAGCCATTCTTCACTTGACAGACCAGGTTTGTCGTCGGCAGTTTCTGTTGTAGTGCTCGCATCACAACTATGTAATGTTCCCATAGTGTACCTGTGCAATATGAAGCTGTGAGTGGACTCACAGCTCTGGGCTTGACTGTACACTGTTGTGTGTACACGTGCGTGTATAAATGTGTGTATATGTGTGTGTGTATATATATATACATATATATATATGAAAGGACCAAAATCCTTGGCTTGCTTACACTGTTGCTAGTGTAAAGGTTGTTACATTTAATTTTACAGGGCACAAATTATAGAAAGACGTCATGCTTTTCACGGTAATACGGCCATGACTTACTACAGTACTCTGCAGTTACCATTTAGTTGTGAAGTTCACCATGTAACAGAAGACGTTATGGTGAAATGCCAAATCCACAAACTATGTGGTAATTTTACCTTTTGGATTGTACAATAAAGTAAAATCTGCATGTCATTGTGACCCTTGCTGTGTGGGACAGAGTCCTGCTTCTGGCCCTGTGAAACTGTCACTGACACTGTTTACATTAAACAGGATATTTGGCAGATCTTCCTGTGAGCGCCGTGTGGGTCTCCAGAAGTGTCGTGAAGGTCTGGGGCCCCGGGCCACACGTGGAGACGCTCCTCAGGTGACTGCTGCCTGCTGTCCCCTCCAGGCAGATGGGAACACTGCATGCCAGCAGTGCATGCGGGACTGAGAGCGAAATGAAGAAAATAAATCAGTGTAATATGAACAAAATATTGTCTTACTTATATTGTTATAGACTTGTAACTGAAAGTATTTTGTCCACTGCTAAGTCTGAGACCGTGATTCTTTTTATATTTATTTGGTTTTCGTCTTTGACGATTTCACACATGAATATGATGTATTTTGGTCAGTTTTCATCCCCATTAACACTTTCTTCCCAATGTGCCTCTCCTGCTTTCATGTCTTGTTTTGATCATGAGCACAGGCCTACAGCTCTTTACTGACAGGGCAATGTAGCAGCGGCCTCACCACTGAAGACAATGACCCCAACAGCCATTCAAGTAGTTCCTCAGGGAGAGTAGGCTGTGCCTTCACTCAGGATAGCATGTTGGCAGGCCTGTCTTGGGCAGGCAGTAGCCAGAAGACACTATGAAGCAGTGATTTCTTCACCCCCGCATGCAAAGGGTTACGGACAGCTTAGCTGTTGAGCCGCTGAGTTCTGCATCACAGGGGAGAGAGCATGGGGATGTCTCTCGTGTTCTGCATCACAGGGGAGAGAGCGTGGGGTGTCTCTGTCATTTGTGGGAGAACTTAGCACTTGACCAGCCCCTGAGGTCCATTTCACGCACATCTTTCGTCTGGCTTCTCCTTGACAGTCATGCCCTTATCAGTGCTCCCAACTTTGCAAATGCTGCAACCCTTTAATTCAGTTCTTCATGTGGTGATGACCCCAACCATAAAATTATTTCATTGCTACTTCATGACTGTCATTTTGTTGCTGTTATGAATCATAATATAAATATCTGATACTCAGGATCTGATATGCACCCCTTGTGACAGGGTCTTTTGATTCCCCAAGGGGTCGTGACCCCAGGTTGAGAAGCTGTTCTAAAGGACGCCGCTCATGGGAATCTTAGGGAGACAGTCATCTAAACACTGTTTCTGAGCATGTTTTCAACATTGTAAAAATCTTCCATTTTAACTGACGTTTAAAGCAGATTTTAGTCTTACTCATTTACTTAGTATTTACTTACTATTTTCCCAAAATCTTGGTGGGATTTTTTGGGTAAAAGGAGGGGACAAAAGACGGGAAATGTGTTTCCCTGGGTCTTTTCAGTCCCTGTTACCCAAATAGCTTTAGAGGGAAATGGGGTTAGCTTGGAAGTACAAAGCTGCAAGGTTTGTGTAGGTGAGAAGGGCCCATTACCTTCCTGCCCCTTAGATTTCAAAGGGAAACAGCACTAAGCTGGGCAGCCACTGTGGAAACAGGTATGGCAGTCTCTGAGAGATGGGAACTGATCTGTCTTAAGATCCAGCTATTCCAATTCCGGGTCCAGTGCCACATCCCTTGGAGGCCCTCAGCAATCACCTGAGGAAGACAGGTGAGATCACTAGGTACCAGTCCCCTGCTTGCACCAGGACACTGGGCAAACAGCAGCAGTGCCCAACTCCCAGTGCCCACCATCTACTGGACCTTACCCCTATCTGCATCCCCAAAGGCCAGCAGGCTCCAGGCACCCCCAGGCTGCAGGGTAAACACAGCGTAGGTGAGCTACGCCGGGCCCCTGCACCCGCCATCTACTGAACCTCCCAACTATGGGCATTGCCCAAAGCCAGTGGCCGCCTGGGGTCCACTAGTCAATGCCAGAAACAACCAGATGGCTAAAGGCCAGTGCAAGAACACAAATAACAAGAGCCTGGGCAAAATGTCAACACCAGAACCCAAGTATTCTACAGCAAGCCCAGGATATCTTAACACAGTTGAAACAGAAAATGACCTTAAATCCAGTCTCATGAAAAGGATGGAGGCTTTAAAGAAGAAATTAATAACTCCATTAGAGAAATACAGGAAAATACAATTAAACAGACAAAATGAATAAAACTGTCCAAGACCTGAAAACGGAAGTAGAAACATTAAAGAAAGCACAATCTGAAGAAAACCCAGGGAAGAAAACAGGAACAGATGTATGCGTCTACAACAGAATCCAAGAGAAGAGAAAATCTCAGCCAGAAGATATGCTAGAAGAAATTAACACATCAGTCAAATGTTAAAGCTAAAAAATTCATGACACAAAACATCCAGGAAAGCTGGGATACTATGAAAAGACCAAACCTGTGAATAATAGGAATAGAAGAAGGTGAAGAGTCCAAGCTCTAAGAACCAGAAAATATTTTCAGCAAAATCATAGAAGAAAGTTTCCGTAACCTAAAGAAAGATGCCTATAAATATACAAGAAGCTTACTGAATACCAAACATAATGGACCAGAAAAGAAAATTCTCCTGTCACATAATAATTAAAACACTAAATGTACAGGATAAAGAACATTAAAAGCTGCAAGAGAAAAAGGCCAAGTAACATATAAAGGCAAACCTCTCAGAATTACACCTGACTTCTCACCAGAGACTCTAGAAGCCAGAAGGTCCTGGACAGATATCTTACAGACACTAGGAGAACACAGATTTCAGCCCAAACTACTATACCCAGAAAAATTCTCAATACCATAGATGGAGAAAACAAGGTATTACAAGACAAAATGAAACTTAAACAATATCCACAAATCTAGCCCTACAGAAAATACTAGAAGAAAAACTCCACCCCAGTGAGGGTAACTGCAGCCAAGAAAATCCAGAAAAAAGTAAGTCCACACCAGCAAAGAACAAGAGGGGAGGCACACACAAGTACACTCTCGTGGATACCACCAACATCGAAATAACAGGAATATTTCCTCATTAATATCTTTCAACATCAGTGGTCTCAACTCACCAATAAAAAGACAAAGGCTAACAGAATGTTTGCAAAAACAGGATCCATCATTCTGTTCATAAAATAAACACATCTCAGCAACAAAGATAACCATTACCTCAGAATAAAGGGCTGGGAAAGGTTTTCCAAGAAAATTAACATAAGCAAGCCAGAGTAGCTATTCTCATATCTAATAAGATAGACTTTCAACCAAAATTAATCAAAAGAGATGGGGAAGGACACTTCATACTCATAAAAAAAAAATTACACCAAGATAGTGTCTCAATTCTGAACATATATGTCCCAAATGCAAGGGCACCCACATTTGTAAAAGAAACATTACAAAAACTTAAACCACACATCTAATCTCACTTGTTATAGTAGGAGACTTCAACACAGCTTGCTCTCCAATGGACAGATCATCCAGACAGAAACTAAAGAGAGAAACAAACTAACCAACGTTATGAGTCAGTTGGACCTAGCATATCTACAGAACATTCCATACAAACACAAAAGAATATACTTTCTCAGCACTTCATGGAACATTCTCCAAAATTAACCACATAATCAGACACAAGGCAAGCCTCAACAGATACAACAAAAGTGAAACAACACCTTGTATTCTATCAGGCCACCAGGGATTAAAGCTGGACTTCAACAACAGCAGAAACAGCAACCTGCCTACACACTCATGGAAACTGAACAACTCTTATTGAAAGCTGGGTCAGGGAAAAAAATGAAAGAAATTAAAGAGTTTCTAGAATTCAATGAAAATGAAGGCACAACATAGCCAAATTAATGGGACACAATGAAATCAGTGCTAAGAGGAAAGTTCATGGCACCAAGCGCCTTCATAAAGAAGTAGGAGACATCTCACATAAGCAATGTAAAAGCACACTTGAGAGCTCTGGAAGAAAAAGAATCAAACTCCCCCAAGAGGTTTAGATGGCAGAAAATAATCAAAATTAGGGCTGAAATCAATAAAGTAGAAACAAAAAGGGCATACAAAGAATCAACAAAACCAAGAGCTGGTTCTTTGAGAAAATCAACAAGATAGACAAACCCTTAGCCAAAAGGCAGAGGGAGGGTATCCAAATTAACAAAATCAGAAATGAAAAGGGAGATATAACAACAGGCACTGAGGAAATCCAAAAAAAATCATTAGATCTTACTTGAAAAGCATATATAACACAAAATTCGAAGATCTAAATGAAATGGATGATTTTCTTGATACCACTTACTAATGTTAAATCAAGATCAGATAAACAGTTGAAATAGACCTATAACCCCCAAGGAAATAGAAATAGTCATTAAAAGTCTCCCACCCAAAACAAAACAAACCAACTAACCAAAAAACAAAACAAAACAAAACAAAACAAAACCTCAGGGCCAGATAGTATCAGGGCAGAATTCTACCAGACTTTCAAAGAAGAGCAAAGAAGAGCTAATACCAATACTCCACAAACTATTTCACAAAATAGAAACAGAAGGACACTGCCAAACCATTCTATGAGGCCACAGTTACCCTGATACCTAAACCACACAAAGACCCAACAAAAAAAGAGAATTTCAGATCAATTTCCCTTATGAATAGTGACACACACACACACACACACACACACACACACACACACACACACCAAACGATCAAATACTCCCAAACTGAATTCAGGAACACATCAAAGACATCATCCACCATGATCAAGTCGGCTTCACCCCAGGGATGCAGGGATGGTTCAACATGTGAAAATCCTTCAGGTAATTCACCATATAAGCTAACTGAAAGGAAAACAAAACAAAAAAACATAATCATCTCACTAGATGCTGGAAAAGCTTTTGACAAAACCCAACACCACTTTATGTTAAAAGTCTTGGAGAGATCAGGGATACAAGACCCATACCTAAACACAATAAAGGCAATATATAGCAAGCCGATAGCCAGCATCACATTAAATGGAGAGAAACTTCTAGCAATTGCACTAAAATCAGGGACAAGGCAAGGATGCCCATTGTCTCTGTATCTCTTCAATATAGTCCTATCTAGAGCAATAAGACAGCTAAAGGAGATCAAGAGGATACAATTTGGAAAGGAAGAACTCCTACAGCTGATATATACCTTCAGCAAAGTGGCTAAATGCAAAATTAACACAAAACAAAAACAAACAAGCAAACAAAAAAAAAACAGAAAAAGAAAAAGAAAGAAGGAAAGAAAAAAAGAAAAAATAATCAGTATCCCTCCTGTATACAAGCGATAGATGGACTGAGAAAGAAATCAGGGAAACTACACCCTTCATGATAGCCATGAAT